GCGGGGCGCCTGGGCGGCGGGTCGGAGGCAGACGCTGCCGCAGCTCCACACCCTCGGCCTCACCCGGCGGGAGACCAGGGCTCGCGGGCTTTGTCATCCGACCGTAACCCACCCTCTGCCCGTTTCACTGGAAATCTCTTTTCTCCGTGCTGAAATGCAGCACTGAAGGAGAAAGAAGCTATGAGTTGTAGCTCATTTTAAAAAATAATTCTGTTACTATTTCAGGCAAAGAACGTGTAAGGTCAGCTTGCAGTACAGCCACAAGTTTAGTGCTGCAGCACGAATGATTGCTTGTTTATAGAAACAGGCATCTGAAACACGTAATAACCTAAAAGTACACCAAGTTCTTGCTGGCTGTTAAACTCCTCTGTGTTGCTGCACCATAATACACAGGAAAATCCATTAATGCATTAGACTTGCTCACATAATTTGAACAGCCAGCTGCTGTCTTCTGCTGCCATCCCAGGATGGAGGTAACGGTACCACCGGTGTCTTACGTCGGTTCTAGCCGCCTCTTCTTCAGGCTGTGACTTCTCCTGTGGGGGCTGCACTCTGCCAAACAGGGAGAAATGGAAGCTTCTTAAAGCTTTTGTTTTCCTGCTTCTAAAAGTGCTCCTCAATTCTTTTTCTAGCTCTTCCTTGATAAGACCATTGGATGGAAAAAAACCATAGTTCTCCTAGCCCACTCTCATGGCATCGGCAGCCAGGTCCAAGAAAAGGGGAAGGTTTCTCCCACTCCAAGTTACTGATCGACCAGTGCTGCTTTCAGGGCTGAGAGCCACCATTCAGACAGAAGGCAGTGGATTTGTGGTAGCACGTACCTGGGGCGGGGTGGTTGGCACAGCTGCTGTTGCTGACGATGGGAGCAGATGGCTGCAGCTGTGCAAGTCTAGCAGAAGCTTTGTGGTGGTTCATCCTGTGAGGTGTCCTGTTACGAGTAGTCATTTGGTGCCATCCACGGGGTGTTTCAGGTGTCCGGTGGCCAGCTGATGGGTCTGCCATTTTGTGACCCATTATCTTAACATCAGTGGTCTCCAGGGAAATGTCCCAGAGTTCAGGATCATCTAGAATGAATGAAAAGCTGATCAATACAGTATTGTACTACAGGAATGACGGCAGCTCCGGGACCAGCCCGCCCTTTCCCCACACGTGGTGGCCACTACGGAAGTGAAACTGTAAAGCATCTTTTACGTCAGCGCTCAGCAGGGAAACGGCACTGCCGCTTGTGCTCTGGAGTTAGGCAGTGTCCAGGCACCGTGGGGCAGGCGTGACCCAAAGAGCCACCGTTACGCTGACACCCCCTGACCCCCACAAATGTTCTGTTTCTGTGCAGTGTCACCTGAGGAAAAGGGCTTACCAAATAGGTATAACAGCTCTCTACTGAAAAGCATGGTGTGATGTCACCCGTAGCGATGGAGGTCATCTCCTTGCCGCTCAAGCAAGGCTTGTATTGTTAAGATCAGGC